CCACAGAGACCTTAAGGCTCCCGGGTCTCAGCTCCTTATTGTTTGGCTCTCTAAAGTAATGTTTATCGGCAGAAATGGGCACACCAGTACTCTGGCAGAGAACATCTGTGTTCCCCCGACAGGAAGATGAGGGCAGATGCTCTGTGYTCCAGGCTCTCAGCCCAGTGCTGCTTCTGTTCAAGGACAGCCTTGCTTTACTTCGGGTACACCAGATTAGGACCAGGTGCAAGGAGTCAGAGTGGAGGAAATGAGCCTTGGGAGAGGCTCCTAAGAAGGCGTAATTAGGGAGGGCGTTCCAGGGTGGATAAGAATGAAACCTGTGGAGGAAACAATGGGTAGGCTTGTTTTTCTGGGGTTGGGGATAAGGACTGGAGTTTGGTCTTCCGGATCTGGATAAGTACAGTTCAGATAGAGCAAAAGCCAATCTGGGAGGTAGTAGAGATTTATTTGTTTATTATTATTATTATTATTATTATTATTGTATGTCCCCACACTTGTATATGTTTGGATGTGTATACTTATTTATATGTACCTGTAGGGAGAAATTAAATTAGGTCTTCTGCCAGGAAGACCTAACTCTAATAAATTAGCTCTAGTTAAATCTGAGGAGTAGGGTAAGAGGACAGAGGATTTTCAGTGTTATTCTATATACACCTGTGATGTGTGGATATTTGTGATGAATGTATATTTATTTGTAAATAAAGTCTGCTACTTTAAAAAATATTTTAGGACTTGGCAAAAATTTTTAAATGCTTAAGTAAGGTAATTCTAATGGCTATAAAGAGCCCTTTAAGATCACATGACCACAAGATGAACTGGGAAGAATAATTATTCTTTGGACTGAAACCTGACTATGGTTTGAATGTGTTCCCCAAAATGTGTTGGAAACAATCCCCAGTGCAGCACTGTTGAGGCGCTGGACCTTTAAAAGAATTAGATCACAAGGGTTCTGCCTCCTGAGTACATTAATGCCATTATTGCAGGCGTGGGTTATCACGAGAGAGTTCCTAACAAATTGAGGGGTTCAGCTTCCTTCCTCTTGAGTGCCCTCTGTTGCCCTTTGCTTTCCACCATGTGGAATGATGCAGCAGGAAGGTCGTCATCAGATGCAGCCCCTGGATCTTGAACTTCCAAGCCTCCAAAACTATGAGCCAAATAAATTTGTTTATTTAAAATTACCTAGTTTCAAATATTCTCTTACAATATCAGAAAACAGATTAAGAAATATGTGTAATAAGAATTGTAATGCGCTGTCATATATAAATAAAAAAAGGAAAAAGAAAGACCCTCCTGGTACATAAACCAAGCTCTAACAGGACTGGGTATGTGCTATGACACTCATGCCCATAGTTCTTCATCTTATTTAATCTGACAGCTTTTTCTCTTTTAACCTCAGAATGGTAATTGAGAATGTGGGTACTGCAGTTCTTGCCACTGGGCTTTCCTTTATTTTTTTAATACCTTCATTTTATTTATCCATTTTTATGTGGTGCTGAGGATGGAACCCAGTGCCTCACACATACTAGGCAAGCGCTCTACCACTAAGCCACAACCCCAGCCTTGGGCTTTCCTTTTATATGGTGAAGGACATCTGAGCACATGGTTCTTTTGATGTGTGTTCTGTAAAATACACATAATGTAAAATTTCCATTTTTAACCCTGTTCAGTGATGCTGAGTATATCACGTTATGTGTAGCTATCACTGCCATCCATCTCCGGAAGTCAGTTCACATGTTAAGTAAATGCACATTTTGGCTTTGGTACTCAAATGTTGGTGGATTTTATTTCAATATTAGACATGATACTTCCTTCTCCATGAGAATATAATTGGATGTAAAATCAGGGTTCTTGTATCATAGTGAATCCAGCTTTAAGTTTGGAAATTAGATGCTTCATTTGAAAAGGAAGTATGTGCACTGTACAAGTATACCTTAATCTTAGTGTTAGCATGTGCTGCTATGAGAGTCCTAAGGGATCTTAAGGTACATCCACACTGTTTGTCAATGAAATTCACACTGATGATTTCAAGACTGAAAGACCAATCGCTTGGATGCCAACTAGAATCTTCATGGGTCACAGAGATGAGCATGTCCCAGCCCTGTCTGCCCAGATCCACCATGAAGAGTCTGTTTCTGGAGCCAGAATGCTCTTGTTTGAAACCTGATTTGGCCACTACCTGTGTGATATTAGAGAAGTTCTTAGTGTTTCAGTGCTCCATCCATTATAGCATCCCCCACATCAAACTATTGTTAGRATTCATTGGGCTGATATAAAACAGTGTCCGGAACATAGTGAGCACCTTGTCAGTACTTTGGGGACCACTGACTTAGGGCTTGCTATAGGCAGGATGGCTTTGTGAGAAGTAAACCGAAGAGTTTATTCAAGCCCAAATTTCCTGGACCCAAAAATACCTCAGGTGTTTTATTCTGTTCAGATCTTTAGAACATTAGTAAAGAGGTTCCAGACAGTTGGAAGACATTATGTCTTTACATTTAATTGTAACTTGCCTTGTAGTTTACTAAGTACTTGTTATATACACATATATGATCTCTCATCAGCATGCTAAACCTCTGAGATAAGCGTAGATAAWGAACTTCATTTCACAGGAAAGGGAATTTCTATTCAGTGTGGTTTTAAGTAATCTGCCCCAGATGGGGTCCCAGGTGCCATGAAGTTTATTGACCAGATCATTAGTTCTTTGGATTAGAACCTAGAGCTGCTGATCATATGCCTCCTGATCACTCCATGCCTTCCCCTTTCCTCTTCTACCAGATGGGTAAAAACAGCACTTTGCTTCAAAATAAATGACATAAAAGATGATCTTGGTAAAAAGGAAGCTAAACAGCATTGGGTCATCTTGATTTGCCTTTGTAGCACTAAGTGCTGAGGAAGGGAAACTTAGRCTCCAGACACCCATTCTGTTTGCCATGCTGGGACTGGTTTGTTGACTAGGTTCCTGTTTTTCACTAAAATTTGTGGGAGGTCATGGATTTGGACTGGGCACCTGCACTAGGCCCAGTAAACCAAAGCAATCTAGAGTTTAATTGCAGTTCTGGTTGGTTATAGGCGGTCCACAAACCAGTTAACTAATTAAGCAGTAACCATTTGACTGGTTGATAAAGCAGTAGCAGATTGTTTCACTTGGGTTTTTCCATAAATGTGTCTGATCACATTGTTTGTTGGTGTTCCCGGAACCTGCTCTGGTTCTGGGACTGCCAAGATGTGTTGAATTGGTTTTGTTTTGTCCTGCCCAAATAAACTCTCCTAAATTCAATTGGTCTAAGGAATTTTCCTTTTAACACTGTCACTTCTGCTCCTGTGGTTGACCAGTTGAATGGCCCTGACCTGAGACCTATTTGGCCAGCCACTCAGTTGAGAATTCCCTGAGGTCTTGGGAGGGATCCSTTGTATTTAAATTGTATGTAATTATCAACAGTTCATTCCATCTCTGTCATCAGCTTTCACTTTTTCAAGCTTTGGATATAGGCAGTGATCTTTTATTGGAAACCTAGAATTGCAACACTTTCTTTAGATTCTCTAGGTTTTTGAGTATAACAATTGGGGATCTTCTTATATAAAAATGTTGGTGGAATTATGCAACTTCTTGACAAAGGATTGGTACAGGAGCTTCGTTGAAGGCTCACCACTTCCTCATTTGTATAATTTCCATCCCTGTGGCCCAACATATGACTTTTAATGAGTCAAGCAGAGAGATAAGTGGTAAGTGGTAATTTTTATTTTAGAATATCTGAAGGTTGAATTGAGTGGACAACTCAATTATATTGACTCCTTGGATTCCCCCAAACATGCACACCCCTACCTCCTGCTTGTTTTTTTTTTTCTCTCTCTCTGATGTTTCAGGGCTCCTGGGACTTTTCTGTTCTGGGATTCTGTCTTGACACTGGGGACCAGCAGACTCACTTAGCTTGTTGCATGTGTGTAGGTCATGTGCCGCTGTCACTGGAGAGGACTCTGCTGTTGGTTCTATTGAGATCTTTTTAAATGACTTTCTCCCAGGCATTTTCGGGACTGTAGTTTTGCTTCTTGGTCTCTCGTTTTTCACTAAGGGACAGACAGTTACAAGCCAGTGGCTCTGGCTCGCTGGGCCGGCTGTGACTGTCTGAGTTCATTGTGATACCAAGARTCAGGTTGCTTTGGGCAGTGTCCTTGGAACAGGGTGCTGATTCATTCTAAACCCTCCCCACTTATGAATTTTCTGACAGCCTTGTGACTCTCAYATGGGGAATATGAGTGACTCTTGAGAAATCTTTTTGCAAGAGATTTWAAAAAAAAWTTTTTTAAGAGTGCTTAGGTGATTTTCCTTGGAGTTAACAGGTGCATTCCTTGCTTTCTATGTAAATCTCAAGGATATAATATTCATTCTTGCTCCTACCTTGCTCATTGATGTTTATGGTTTTGTTCTTCAGGTTATTTATGGAGTACTTAACCTAAATATATGTGGGAATATCCTTCATTCTTTAAAACTTAGTAGTTCCTTGTGCAGATGTGCAAAAGTAGTGTCTCAGTAATTGCTAACTTACTCTATCCTGTGATTCTTAGTGATTTTTATAGGGAACTGTAACTTCTCTTAAATAAGCAGAAAGTTGAAATCATGTAAATAATTTCCATGACCTACTTTGTTGACTTGACAAATCCATTTGGGTCATTTGGTCTATTTATTTTTTATTTTTTTTTTTTTGTAGTTGTAAATGGACAGAATGCCTTTATTTTATTTGTGTATGGTACTAAGGATCGAACCCAGTGCCTCCCACATGCTAGGCAAGCGAGTGCTCTGCCACTGAGCTACAACCTCAGCCCCCCATTTGGTCTATTTCTATTACTGTTTCTCAAAATGTTTAATATGTGCCTCTTGCTTTCACTTCCTTTTGCAGGTAGCATTGACAGATTCTGTAATGGTGCTTGAATGAGCACTTTTTATTGTTGAAAATATGTTTTCCATTAGACCCCAGTTATACCTAGTCTTGTGTTAATTTCTGTAGGTGTTTTTACAGTCCTGTGTTTGGTATGGAGAGTGTGGAATTGCATCTGGAGATAAGAGATACAATTGCAGATATTCTGGGCCACCAAAGCCACTGCCAAAAGATGGGTATGACTTAGTGCAGGTAAGTTCCTTGTTAGCCGTACAAAATGCTGMTCACAAGATCCTCTGTAATTAAACCTTGCAGCACAGTGTGGGTAGAGGTGAAACTAATAGGCCTAAATCTTATCCCAGATTCTAACCTGTAATGCACAGTGTAGAGAAGATAAGCTAACTACAGAGGTTTAATTTTTCAGGCACCTACTTTCTACCTCTCATAGTTTCCCAATAGCAGGTTACTATTTAGAGACTGACCTTAGTCCTCAAATGCTACTCTTTGAAACTTCTGCAAAATATATTAGAACTTGACTTTTTGGTTCCTAGATCCCAGGACTTGAACAGACTGCCACTAAGAAGCTCTGACTTCCTCTTTCCCTGTATATTTTAGTGATTTCTCTGTGTTCCCCTGAGCATGTGAATTTTGCCTGTCACCAGGGTTCTGCTTTGTTATCATTTTTACCATCCTGCATGCACAAGGGTATTGGAAAAGAACTTGGAAAATCGGGGTGGAAAGACTGATTTTTAGAGGCTTACGTAATAAAAAGTCAAATTGACATGGTAGGAGATCTCTGCTTACTTATTCCTTTCATCAGAATTAGTAAAAGTTTTGACTTTCCCTGGAGTGACTAATGGAAATCATAAATAGCACTCTGGTTGAACTTAAATAAAAAAAAGGTAGGAAGAGGTAAAATGACTGTCAGGGGGAGAGACAGAGCTTCCAAATAAAAACTAAATTAGAAATGTCTCTACTGCCTCTACCTGTGAGTCCCTAGTTTATGAATGGTATATTTGATGGCCTTTCAAGAGAATTCTGCAAGAATTTCTCCAATGCTTGCCTTATCCTCAGGCACTGAAAAGGTTTACAGGAGCAGAGCTGTTTTCTCTCTAGAGGAATGGCATCCTTACCCTAACTGCTACTCTCATATCTGTACTCTGTCTTCTGAAAGGAACTCTGTCCTGGATTCTTCTTCGACAATGTCAGTCTCTGTTGTGATGTTCAGCAGCTTCGGACTCTGAAAGACAACCTGCAGCTGCCTCTGCAGTTTCTGTCCAGGTAGGTTGACCACCAGGCAAACAGAGCCAGGGGGTTTCAGCTACTTGTTAATCAGTAATGTTGGGGTCTGCTTGTAAAGTCAGAGTTTTGGTATGTTCTGTTTTGATGACTTCTAAGAAATAGAGAAAATAATAATCATGATAGACTTGGTTCTCTTCCCAGTTACATCCACAGTTGTGACTTGGTTTCCTCTGAGATGCCCTGGCTCTACATAGTAGGCTAGTTCTTTCAGATTCRAGTTTCTGTGCACCCTGGAAAAGAGAGGTTCCCGGTAGTCCTGCTCAGGTCCCTCACCTACGCAGTCTTCTAATCATTTTCCTCTCCTCACCTCCCCTGCTTTGCATGTCATTTTGCCTTTTTCTGTGGTGAAATGATATGCTGTAGGTCCTCACTAGGCTGGCCTTGGGTCACTGTTCAGTTTGTTCTGGCATAGTTGGCCAGTTTTGTCAAAGTTCGTTTTCTGTTCCATCTGTTCTTCATGACCCAGGCCAGTGAAAGAGGATTGCATAATAGGTGTTCTTCTCTATAGGCCTATCTAGCARTTTTCAGATGGGCAGAAGAACAAGCAAGATTGTGTTATCTTTGTCAGTTTTTCAGRCCTTAGCACACTGAGATAGATGGATGGTGAGCAAATATAAAGAGGGGGAAATGCTCTCTGCAGTTATCACTGCAAGTGGCAGGGCATAAGCCAGCTTCCACTATGGAACCGTGCTTCTTATCAGAAGTTACAGTACAGGATGGAAAACCATCATTCAGTTGTTCTCCCAGGACATCGTATAATACAATATCAAAAGCTGGGAGTCTGTTTGGGCCACTATATCCTACGGAAGCCTGCTGGACATTGATGGAGCTAGATTGGACCCTTCGTCATTCAGTCAAAACATTTATTTAGCACCCATTCATGAACATCAACAGATAGCTACGATTTTCTCCAGAGGTACCAAAGCTTTGTTAATAACAGCAAATAAGAAAAATAACCTGACATATGGAATCTTAYGCAGCTGTTGAAATTCATGATCAAATGAAATAAYACAGCAAGAGATTTGTAGAAATCTGTACACCCCAATTGTGATTCTTATCAGTAGTGTGATTAAAGTTTCTGGTTTTGGAAAGCAAAGGTTTCCTGAAAAAGAATCTGTGTGCGTATCTGCTTCACTGGAGCAGAGGCTTTTGAAGGCTGGGTTACACCTTCCTCATTCTGTGTCATGTGTGATCACTAGCGCTGGATCAGTCTAGAAAATAATCTCAGTTGTGTGGTGAGAATGCACCAAAGGGAGAGAGCCCTTGTGCCACATAACAAGTCAGCTTAGGAGCTTAAGCTYTGAACCCGAAGGGCATCAGTCAGCTGTCCCTTGTGCTTCTCTAATGTATGCAGCCAGAGAACACCATGGCTGTCCCTTTTGTTTTCACAAGTCACGAGGGGATCCTTCTGTGTTTTGGGAAGGCCTGGGATTACCCAAGGCTTGGAAGAAAGCCTTTCAGTAAGTTATAAGGTGAAAATTCTAATGTGAAAGCTCATTTTTTTCCCTTTTGTTCTTAATCAGAATTGTCACAGCTCTAGGACAAAGAAAGATGTCTCTAAATTACAAAAGCACAGAATTCATAAAAGCATCTTTCTCTTTTTGAAATTACATCTGAGCAAAGTAAATATAGCAATTACAGCAGTTGGGGAGGGGATAGTTTTAAAAGTTACTTATTTTAACATGAGGTTTTAGTTGAAGAATTTTTGGTTTTAATATGTTCATTTGTCCCTTTGTAGTACATTTTTAAAATTCTTTATTATTTTTAAATCATATTTTTGCTGGCCCTATCTGTGAGATCATGCAAAATATAATTTATTTTTTCTCTAGATGCCCATCCTGTTTTTATAACCTAATGAACCTGTTTTGTGAGCTGACATGTAGCCCTCATCAGAGTCAGTTTCTGAATGTTACAGAAACTGAAGACTACATTGATCCTATGACAAACCAGACAAAAACGAATGTCAAAGAATTACAATACTATGTTGGACAGAGTTTTGCCAATGGTAAGTAAAATTAATTATTCCCCTTTTAGCTAGCATGAGGGCAGAGCATCAAGCYGTTCTTTTTGTTATTCTGTCRACTGTGTGGATCYATTCAGATGTGGAATGATATTCAGCACTAAATAGAAATGAAAAGACGTAGATACCACAAAACATTGATCACAATTTCCAGTTCCATTGGCCTTGAACTCAGAGTCATTTCTTGTTTGTATCCTAGGACTTGGGCTACAACCAACAAAACCACCTCTTTAAAGCATTGGCTTTAACCCCTTCCCTAGCCTTAAGCTCCTGTATGGAAAATTTCAGAATATGCAAATTTGTGTACATTTTAATAAGCATTAGAATGTTGATTCTAGCAGATGTGAAATGTTTAATATCATGAATTACTGCAAGACTTAGGAGGAAATAGATGGATAGAAGTAGTTGATGAGGAAAAGAAGTTTTGACTCTGAGACACAAGGGAAAGTAAACAGTATCACAAATAGGAATGCCCCCCTCCCACTGCTAGAGATCATAGAACAATCCAAAGAGACCCTCTGTTTGTGGAAAATGAAAGAATTCTAAGAAGAATAAGTAACTGCAGAAAAGGAATGAACAGATTAGAAATAGAACCAAGTGGATCTAATGAGGGAGCAGTGATCATTGGAATGGATTAAAAGATAAATAGCAAATTAGACATAGGTAAACAAAAAGTGTCAAAGAACAGTCTAAAAAATGATAGAATTATTAGCAAAGTTATTGACTATAAGAATAATTTAGAACATTGATCATATCTGGATCAATCCATGAAATGCCAATTAAAATAGTGAACCACATTCATACTCTATCCAGTTGTCACAAATATAAAAAGCTATCATAATGACCAATTAAAAATACAAGAATAAGTTTAATAGAAAAAAGATTCTATTTACAAAAAAAAAACACAAAAAGTATGGTAACTAGGAATCAGGCTTCCAAAAGATGTGACATAAAGGCAGCCTGAGTGAAGAGAGATCATTCTGTATAGAAATAAAAACATGCATACATGGAAAATTTATATATAACAGGTGCATCATTGCAAATCATTGAGGGGAATGGGATCTTGTTGATAAATGGGGTGATAAAACATTATATTCATCTCATTTTTTGGCATATACAAAAAAAATCTACTGTATAAATTAAAAATCCTAGCCTTGGAAAGTTTTAGAAGCAAATACAGAATATCTTCATGACTTTAAGGTAAAGAAAGATTTTCAAAAAGAAAAAGCAGAAACCACAATGAGAATGTTYATGAATATAAACAATTCATGTCTGGATCAATCCATGAGACGCTGATTAAAATAGTGAAACACCATTCATACATTATCAGATTGTCACAAATTAAAAATTTAATGATAATGATGTGGAGCTATAGAAGTGTTAATAAATTGCACCTCTCAATAACCAAAAGCTGGCGCAAATGTTTGAAAACAATTTTGCATTACCTGGTGAAGTTGAAGATGGATAAGCACACCCATACTACAGAAATTCCACTTATAGAGGCCCACCTAACAGAAATTCTTAATACATATGAACAGGAAGGCCCATATAATTATGAACATCCATTATAGCGTTCTCATTGATCATGAAAATTGGAGACATCCAGAGAATGAGAAGAAGACAAATCACAGACTGGGAACAAATATTTGCAAGAGGCATATTTGATTAAGAGCTATTAAAGTATACAGAAAACTCTTAAAACTTAACAATGAGGAAATAAAGAACTTGATTGAAAAATGGGCAAAAACCCAAACAGATAACTCATCCAAGAAAGAGTRTAGATGGTAMATAAGTATATGAAAAAATGCTGAACATCTTATGTCATTAGGGAATTGCAAATTGAAACAACAGTGAGATACCACTAAACATGTACTGTAGTGGCCAAAATCCAGAACACTAATGCCACCAAATGCTGATGAGATGGGGAGCAACAGGAACTTTAATTCATTGTTGGCGGGAATGCAAAATGGTACATCCTCTTTGGAAGACACCTTGGCAGTCTCTTACAAAACTAACTTATACCTGTCATATGAGCCAGCTATTGTCCTYCTTGGTGTTTAACCAGATGAGTTGAAAACACATCTATGTGAAAAACCCTGCACACAGATATATGGACCACGTATTCATAATTGCCAAAACTTGAAAAAAGCAACTAGGCTGTTCTTCAGTAGGTGAATAAGTGTATAAACTGATCCATTCAGATGTGGAATGATATTCAGCACTAAATAGAAATGAAAAGACGTGGAAGAACCTTTAAATCATATTACTAAGTGAAAAAATCTAATCTAAAAAGCTGCATAGCATATGATTCCAACTCTGGCGTTCTGAAAAGGCAAAACTTTGAAGACAGTAAAAAATCATTCATTGCTAGTGGTTAGCAGTGAGGAATGAGTACACAGACTACAAAGGATATTGAAGAAGTGAAATTATGTGTGGCACTATAATGCTGGATACATGTCATTATACATTTGTCATATCCCACAGAATGTACACCAAGAGTGAACCCATTATAAACTATAAGGTTTGGATGATAGTAATGTATCAATATAGAGGTTCATCATTTGTCAAAGTAAATAAATAATATATTACTCTAAGTCAGAATGTTGATAATGAAGGAGGTTATTAATAATAATAACATATGTGGGGATAAAATATGTGGAAATTTTGAAATTTCCACTTAATTTTACTCTTACCCCAAAACTGCTCTGAAATATGAACTCTAATTCTTTTTTTAAATGGAGACACTAATTGCTCGATAATAGAGAATGGATAAATACATTGAATATAGTCATGGTCATAGAAAACTTAAAACTAAAAAGTATGGATTAGAATCATATTTGTTACATGGGTAACTTAAACATGATAACTAAAAGGCTATAGAGTATGTGTAGTATGTTTATAYGACTTTAAAACAGAAGTACTATATAGATACAGTATCTCATAGGTACATAGACGTACATAGGAATATGCATCAAATTCAGATTTGGGATCATCTTAGGGAAGAGGAGATGCTGGTGAGAAGYAGTAATCAGTGGATTTCAATAAAATCCATGGTGTTTTTCATTTGTTTTTGTTTTTGTTCTGTGACAGTGTTGGAAAGTTAATCTAGGGCCTCACACATGCTAGTGGCTCTACCAGTGAGCCACATCCACAATGGTACATTATTTTTGTTTTGTTTTGGTGCATTGTTTTTGAAACGCCAACACAAGTATTGTAAGATTGATAAAGCTGGGTGGTGAGGAAATGAGAATTGTGTTATTCTCCATATTCTTCTCTAGGCTCTAAATATCTAATAAAACCCTGAAATCACTGGAAGATATGAGAGAATTATTCAGAAAACATCATATAGATATAAAGATCTGGACATCATTAAACACATGTAGGATAAGAACTGGGTGGGGGGGAGGGGGAGAGTCGGGGAGACATAAACAGAGGGATAATGGCTAAAGATTTTCCAGAATGAATGAGTAATAAGTCCTCAGTCTTAGGTAAATAAAATCCTTAAGCAGGATAAGCTAAAAAGAAACCCAATATGAAATCTGAAAATGAAATTAAGAAAACAATTTCATTTATAGTAGCATGAGAAAATAGGGATAAATGTAACCGAAGTACAAAACTTAAACTATAACACTTTATACAAATAAATTAAGGAGGATCTAAATAACTAGAATAATATCACATGTTCGTGGATCAAAAATGTTGTTAAAATGACAGATTTTCCCCAATTGATCCACAAATTCAACTCAATTCTCAGCAGAATCCCAACTGACTTCATTGTAGGAATTGACAGGGTAATTCTAAAATCAACTTGGAATTCCAGCAGACCTAGAAGAGCTAAAAGAATCCTGAAAAAAAAAATCAAAATACAAGGACTCACTTCCCAATTTCAAACTTAACTACCAAGCATTGGAAATCAAGGTGATATGGTCCTTTAATAAAAACAGACATGTGGACCAATGAGTATAATTGAAGATAAGCTGTATATCTATGATCACTGTTCTTTGACAGAGGTGCTAAGACCATCACTGGGGGAAAATCCTCTTCAGCAAATGGTATGGATTAACAGTATCCACATGCAAAAAAAATGAAATTGGACCCTTACCTCATTAAATTAAAAAAAYTAATTGAAAATGAATCAAAGACTTAAATATAAGAGCTAAAACTACAGAACTCTTAGGAGAAAAAATAGGGGTAAGTCTTTATGACCATGGATTTGGCAGTGAAGTCTTAGGTATAATATCAAAAGTATGGGCAACAAAAGAAGAAATAGATAAATTAGACCTCATTAAAATAAAAAAAAAAAAGAAATGTTTGTGCTTCAAAGGATATCTTGAAGAAAATATTTGCAAATCATGCATTTTTTAAGGGACTTATATCTAGAATATATACAAATCTGTTATAACCTAATAGTAAATAGACAGCCCAAGGAAGGTATGCAAATAGTTAATAAGCACATGAAAAGGTGTTCAACATTATATTCATGGAAATACAAATCAAAACTGCACACTCACCAAGATGGCTATGTCAAAAAATCAGATACCAGGTATTGGCATGGATGTGGTGAAATCAGAACTTCATTCGTACGTGGGAATATAAAATRGTATAGCTGCTTTGGAAAACAGTCTGGCAGTTTTGAAACAAATATAGTTACCATATGACCCAGCAGTCCCTCCAAGAAAAATGAAATGTGTCCACGCAAAAACTTACCAGTGTCTGTAGCAACATTACTCATAGTAGTCAAAAGATGTCAACAAAATATGGTACCTCCATGTRATTGAATATTRTTTGGCCATAAAAAAAAGAATGGAGTGTTCAGTAGGCTAAAGCAGGAAGATTACAAGTTCAAAGGTAGCCTCAACAACTTAGCAAGATCCTGCCTCAAAATAAAAAGGCTAGGGATGTGACTCAGTGATTTAGTGTCCCTGGGTTTGATTCCCAATTTAATTCCCAGGGAAAGGTAAGTAAAGGAAGCTCATCAGAAAAGATCAAAACATTATAAATTCTGTTAATATGAAATGTCTAAATAGGCAAATTCTATAGACASATTTAGTGATTGCTTAGGGTTTGGAATGTGGGGAAATAACAATCATAGTTAAAGGGTACAGGATTTCTTTTTTTGAGGGGTTGAAAATGTTCCAAAACTGGAATTGGTGGTGATTGCATATATTGATGAATATGCTAAAATTCATTAAACTGAATATTTTAAGTGGGTGTATGGTATGGTATGTGTATGATATCTCAGAAGTTTTTTTTAAGGGCTGAGGCTGTAGCTCAGTGGCAGAGCACTTGCCTACCATGTGTGAGGCACTGGGATTGAGCCTTAGCACACATTAAAATAAAAATTAAAATAATTTAAAAAAAAACTTTTTAAAGCAAAAGGAAACCCATACCTTAAGTATGACTTAGAAAAACGAATGCATTTCAAAGGCAGAGATCTTAAAAGCAAATAGAGAAAAGACATAAAGCTCTTCAGAAGAATGATAATTGAACATTTTCTCACCAGCCATAATATGAGGCCAGAAAGGACTGATACATTCAGAGTTCTGAAAAAGACAACTGTCCCTCTAGCTAACCTTTCTTTCAAAAGTGAGGGTAAGGGGCTGGAGTTGTGGCTCAGTGTTACAGCACTTGCCTAGCATGTGTGAGGCACCAGGTTCGACTCTCAGCACCACATACAAATAAATAAAGTAGAGGTCCTTTGACAACTAAATATTTTWAAAAATAAATAAATAAGTGAGGATAAAACCAAATGAATATGTAGAGATCCCCTTGGACGTTAAGGGAAGAAGATCTAGGAAGATTCTAGCAAGCAGGGACTGGTGAAATGAAAATTAGCAGTACAGGACACTCCACCTGCCTCCCTGTGTGTGATAGCATTGATATTAGGTTCTGTGTTATCTTTGCGTACTAAAATAAAACTAAAAAACAGAATGGTAKTAGTTTAATTCATGTGTGACCTCATTCCTAAAGCCAGTTTTCCCTGTGATTTCCATGATTCAGCTGTGTAGTCTCCTGCTACAAGAGGCTGCTCCAGGTTTTCTGGAACCAGCTTCACTGACTGAAGAGGTACTAAGATTCTTAGCTTTAGTCTACTCCTCTGGACAGTGGAGAGGAGACTTCCCAAAGCTTTTGTAAGAACCAGATGATATGCCATAAGCCTTTCCCTTTCCTGTTTTTTACTTGTAAGTTACTTGGAGTCAAGCTGGAATAAGCCATTTCAGAGGGAAGTCCCCTCTCCCTTCCACAGTGTGCAGTCATCCCACATTCCAGTCTGCTTGCTAACATGGTTGCAATCCACCTGGAGTCCTTTGTTTCCATTTCAGAGGCCTTTTGCAAGCTCTTATTTGGAGACTAGAGCAAGTGTCATGTCRCTTTTTCCCTTGGGATTCCTTTTCTAGCAATGTACAATGCCTGCCGGGATGTGGAGGCCCCCTCAAGTAATGACAAGGCCCTGGGGCTCCTCTGCGGGAGGGATGCTGATGCCTGCAATGCCACCAACTGGATCGAGTACATGTTCGATAAGAACAATGGACAGGCGCCATTTACCATCACTCCCATTTTTTCAGGTAGGGATGACTACTCCCAAAGTTGCTATATTTATACTAATGTTATAATGCCAAGGAATCAGTCTGCAGGAGGAGGATAAATTCCGGTAACTAATGCCTAGAGTTTCTCTCGAGTAAAACAGGTTACTAGGGCATTTATCCTGTATGAATGGAAGCGGGAAAGGAATTGCCTGTAGGGATCGCTGTGTACTTGAGGGAATAAACTGAGGTTTTGTTTGTTTAAGAAAGGCTAAGGAGTGTCACAACAGACTTCTCAGAGCTCTGCTGAAATTGAAATCTTAGTCTAGCTATTCAGAGTGGGAGTAAGACAGGACTGAAAGTCAGCACTTGTAATTTTATAAGGCAAAGCAATAAAACATAAAGGGATTGGAGATTAAATTAAAATCTCCAGTCCTTATTCTTCCAATTGTTATGCTGTATTTCAGCATGCTTATTATTGGGTTTCGAGATAGTTCAGTACACACTTTTTAATGTTTTTTCATTGAGATTGTCACTCAACACAATTCCTTCCCGTAGATCTTCCAGTCCAGGGGATGGAGCCCATGAACAATGCCACCAAAGGCTGCAATGAGTCTGTAGATGAGGTCACTGGGCCATGCAGCTGCCAGGACTGCTCCATCGTTTGTGGCCCCAAGCCCCAGCCCCCAGCACCTCCTATTCCCTGGAGGATCTTTGGTTTGGATGCCATGTATGTCATCATGTGGATCACCTACATGGCATTTTTGTTTGTGTTTTTTGGAGCATTTTTTGCATTGTGGTGCTACAGGTAAGCAGCTGTGTGTGTGTGTGTGTGTGGGTGTGTGTGTGTGTGTGTGAGAGAGAGAGAGAGAGAGAGAACGAACTAGGGCCAGAAGATCAAAATTACTCAAGTGGCACTTGTAGCTTTCACATGGCAGGTTTATTAGAACAGGAAGCAAATACCTGCGTGAATGCCACTCCATGGATTGCTTATGATCTGCAGCTAGTAAATAGTCAAGAGTCGTTGAGACATTTAAACATTTGAAGTTAATTTTATTGATTCATTCAGAATAGTATGTGAGTTAAAGCTCAATGTATTAACCCATCTTTAGAAATTCTAGTCAGAGTCATGGGCTGGGGTTGTAGCTCAATGGTTGAGTGATTGCCTCGCACGGTGAGGCACTGGGTTTAATCCTCAGCACCACATAAAATAAATAAATAAAACAAAGATATTGTGTCCATCTATAACCAAAAACAATTTTAAAAAGAAAGAAAGTCAGAGTCAAATGAGCCAAATGGTCCAAATCTAATTGAATGCAGAGCCATCCACATTTAGTRTAGTACTTTTTTTTTTCCTTTCTTGGTACTGGGATTGAATCTACCACTGAGCTACACACCCAGTCCTGCCCCCACTTTGGAACTGGGGATCTGAGTTGTTCAGGACATCACTAAATTGCTAAGGCTGGTTTTGAACTCATGATCCTCCTGCCTCAGCTTCCCAAGTCACTGGAATTATGGCCACCCCCAGCCTTTTTTATTTTTTATTTTGAAACAGGGTCTCAATAAGTTGCCCAGGTTGATCTTGAACTTGTAATACTCCTTCCTCAGCCTCCTGAGTTGCTGGTATTGTACCACTATGCCTGACAACAGTATATTTTTATTTATTTTAATTTTAAAACCATTTTAGACTTACCAATAAGTTGCAGGAATAGCAGAATTTATATATATCCTTGTCCCAGCTTACCCTCATTTACCACTGAGAGAACCCAGTATAATCATCAAAACCATGTAACTGGTACCGTATTATTAGCTAAACTACACACTTTACTCRTATTTCACCAGTTTTTCCTCTCATGCCCATTTTCTATTTCAGAATCTCCTAACACATTCACTTTTTATGTTTTATTAGTCTCCTCTAATCTACAACAGATGGTTCCTCCGTCTTTTTCCTTTTTTAAGATCTTGACACTTTTGATGAGTACCTGCCACTTATTTTGTAGCCTGTACYTCTTGCCTTCATCCGGTGTTTTGTGGTGATTAGATTGAGGTTGTGTGTTTTGCACAAGCACATCACAGATGTGGTGATGGGTCTTTCTCAGGGCATCATGCCAAGGAGTCCATGATGTTGATATGTTGTTACCAAGRTGTTAACCTTGATCTCATGGTTAAGATGGTTCTGCTGGGTTTCTACACTGGGGTTACTATTTTTACCTTTATAATTGAAAATTTTCTTGAAAAAAGATATTTTAAAACTATGCGTGGGCTGGGGGTATAGCTCAGTGTTAGAGCACTTGCCTAGCACACATGAGGCATTGGGTTTGATCGTCCGCACCACATAAAAACAAATAAATAAAATGAAGGTATTGTGTCCATCTACAACAAAAATAAAAYAAAACAAAAAAAAACTATACTAATACTTTCTCCTCAGACCATCACCTACTGCCCACTAAATCATGGGTTCTGTCTGCAACCATGATTATTGCAGTGTTTGCCTGATAGCAATTGTGGATTTCTCTCACTCCTACAACTACTAATCAGACTTCTTCCTTCACTTATTATTCATTTAGTTACATTATGGACCTTTTACTTATTCTGTGGACTCTATCTAATTCCATTGTTTGCTGCTCAGGTTTTTTCCACGTTGGGCATGGGGAGGTGCCTCCTGGTTGGCTCTTAAGTTCTTTTGACATATTCCCACCTTTGGGATCATCTGCTGTTCTCCCTGCCCTGGCCCAGGATAGTATTTGAAATCAAGGACAAGGCAGCAGGTATGCTCGTTGCTCCTAGGCAGGATAGTATGTTTTTAAAGRATCTAAAATGAGGGTTGCAAAGTGAAATTATCCTTTAACAATTTGGATTTTTTTTTTTTAATACAGTCTTAAATTTTCTACAGAAACTGGTAAGCATAGAGACCCAAGGGAGCTTAGGATTAGGGAGGAAGAAGACAGGATGAGGAAGTAAGCTTGTAGTGGGATTTTGGGATGTCCAAATAACAATCTTATCGTGAAGTCCACTAATACTGCTTATGTGCTTTTATTTTTCAGAAAGCGTTATTTTGTCTCCGAATACACTCCCATTGACAGCAATATAGCCTTTTCTGTTAATGCCAGTGACAAAGGTAGGCATATTTGTACAGAAAATAAAGGGTTTGGATTTTGTTGGCCTGAAAGAGCCCTTGTTTCCTCAGTAAATATTGACATGCCGATTGTGGGTGAGGCCGTGCACAAGTGCCAAGGACACAGCTATGGTCAGCACAGATATGTCCCTTGCCTGTGGCTCTGATGTCAGGGTGGCAGATCAGACCCAAGTAATCAATGACAGCAGTGAAATGCTTAGGGACCAGAGTAAAAGCCACAAAGGTGCCTGTGTGGCAGGCCAAGGGCAGGAGCARCAGAGCAGTCAGAGAAACTTGCTTTTCAGAAGCTCTCGTGTGAGCATCTTTCCACCCAGGAGTGCAACCGCGTCCATTGTGGGTAGCCAAAAAGAAGAGCTTCCGCAAGCAGACAGAGAGCACAGGGCCCAGGGTGTCAGTTGTGTCACCCAGGGGGCTGGACTCCCAGCAGGTGCAATGGTAGCTAATGCTGTCCCTGTTCCGACTTTCAGGAACGGCCTGGCTCTTAACCTCCATCCTCCTTTCCTCTCCCGCTCTTCCAGGGGAGGCGTCCTGCTGCGACAGGCTTGGTGCAGCCTTTGAGGGCTGTTTGAGGCGCTTCTTCACCCAGTGGGGATCTTTCTGTGTCCGAAACCCTGGCTGCGTCATTTTCTTCTCAGTGGTCTTCATTGCTGCATGTTCTTCAGGCCTGGCATTTGTCCGGGTCACCACCAATCCTGTTGACCTCTGGTCATCTGCCAGCAGCCAGGCCCGCCAGGATAAAGAGTACTTTGACACACACTTTGGGCCTTTCTTCCGGACGGAGCAGCTCATCATCCGGGCCCCCAATACCAGCAAACACATTTACCAGCCTTACCCCGCAGGAGCCGACGTGCCCTTTGGACCCCCACTTGACAAAGAGATTTTGCATCAGGTATTCTGCCATTAGTACATGTCCGTCCATCTGGGGGACCTGGTGGTACGCTGGCTTTTACATGTAGACCAATTCTATCCAATACAGATTTGGGGCTGATTGTTGTGGTATCTCTTAAATCTTTAAGCATTAAAGTAAAGGTGTTTTCACTTATTTTTCAAGAAAGTGGTGCTAGTCATTGAATTTAATAAAAAATTTACTGTTGCCTGCTTTTGGATTGACTTCAAACAGCAGATCCTGCCTTTTTCTTGAAATTGAGATGAACAGAGGAAGGTCTAAGTAGCATTTCTCTGTTGAAGCAGAATATGAGGAATTTACCTCGGGAATCCATGGATTTTTTTTTTTTCTTGTGTTAAGAGTAAAATGAAAGGACCCAAAGGAATGAATTTGTTTATGCTGTCCTGGGGTCCGGGGCAGGAACTGCTGGATCATTACTAATCCAGGGTCTAGGAATGAACTTATTGTGACCTGAATGTTAGCTGYCAGCCTGTAGTTAGTGGAAGATATACTTGGGAAGAGATCCATCTGTTTCTCTTACAAAGGTCTTTAGAATTTCCTGTTGTCCTTCATATTTGCTATGGAAATCTGTACCTGTGAATAAACTACATCTGCTTCTTTAATGAATGATCATTCATCACAATCACACAAATTTTCCTTTAAATATTATTCTTGTCTGCAGAAAGTGTGAGATTTTTAAAAGCATCGAAATGAGCCAAAAACTTTAATGGAATTTTTTTTTTCCTCTACCCAGTGTCTGACTGTTCCATTTTCCTAGCTTGGTGCAAAAGATGAACAGCACAGACATTTACTTCCAAGAGTATAGTCTATATTGGAAAATATGGGCGTATACCTAAATGATTGTAGCATAGAGCCAGGCATGTGTTTTGGTGTGTTTTGGGAAGGGGGAGTGTTGGGAAGACCAGGCATCTCACTCTAGTCTACCTTGTGGCCCCTTATTGGTGGCTGCTGGACAAGGGTGAGGGGAGATGGTGAATGCTGTATTGAGATCAGTTCTGATCACATATCTCTTCCCCATCTCTGGACTCCTCTTACCAGGCCTCACCAGATACTTTACTACAGTGTGCCTGAACCTCCTCTGTCTTAGGATGTGTTTTCCTCAAAGACTTTTCCTTCTAACCTCTCACAATACTAGTTAGTAAAGATTTAAAGAAATCTGACATCTTTCTGGGTTTGCTTATTTTTAAAATCTTCTTTCAGGTGCTCGACTTACAAACAGCCCTTGAAAGTATTACCGCAAATTATAACAATGAGACTGTGACACTTCAAGACATCTGCTTGGCCCCTCTCTCACCTTATAACAAGAACTGCACCATTTTGAGTGTGTTAAATTACTTCCAGAACAGCCATACGGCACTGGACCATCAAGTAGGGGATGACTTCTTTGTGTATGCCGATTATCATACGCATTTTCTGTACTGCACAAGGTAAGTGGCAGCAGCCAGCCATCTGTGTATCCTGCCAATATTTGAGCACTTATTTTTGCTTTTATCACTAATGGTACTAGAGACCCATCAGTGAACCAACAGAGCAAGACATACCCTGCGAAGCTCACATCCTAATGAATGGGAATTGGCAATCTGTAAATACAGTCATGTTGTTTCTCAACGAGGACCCATTCTGAGAAATTCATTGATAGTTAATTCTTTATTGTGGGAACATATCATGGAGTATGTTTACACAAAATAAGACAGCTATGACATCTCTAGGCAATGTAATCTTGAGGAACCCACTATCATGTGTAGTCCATCATTGACAAAATGCTATTATGTGGCATACTGAATATATATGCTCTCGTGTCAGTAAAAGATTAGTGTTGGGAAAGGCTTAGCAAAAAAGGAATGAGTTTTAAAGAAGAAACTTGCACAAAAGACAGCCTGTGGCTATCACAGGAAAAAGTATTTGCAGCAGAATAAGCAGCATGGGCAAAGGCTCTAGAGTGGGCGCTTCCTTGGTATGTAATCTTTAACACTTGCCTGGGTCAATAACAGTTTGATGTCCACACCTACTCCCCTAAGATTTGAAGGTAGAATCTTATTGAGCTTGTGCCTGTTTTTCATGTGTAACCTGATATCCTGGTACCTATCTGTGTTTAAAGCATGTCACCTCCTTTTGAGGAGTTGGGGAGAGCTGGCATGCAGTTTTAGATTAGAAGGCCTTAAACTGCTTCCCTTGGGAGGCCTGCATCTGGCTGGGCAGGGCTTCTTTATAACTGGGATTAGTCTCCCAAGGAAGCTGTGCTTAGGTGATCTGTGAGGGGAGCTTTGGGCTTATTCAGTCTGCCATCTCTGAATGCTCCAGAGCTGGCCTAAGGGCGATTGTTCAGCGATGTGAACAACCACAGTGGCTTTGTGTTCACCATAGGAACAGGAAAAATGCCTCCGTGTCTCCTTTGTTTGCATTGCTTAACTCACTGTGTCTCAAGAGCTGAGCACTCTGGTTTCTGGTTGTCAAGAACTCTGGTGACCTTAAATTTTGTTGTTAAAATGTGACTGCTCAGGCTGTTAGTCAGTATTCATTGTGTTTCAAGGACGTTGCCTCTTAAACATGAGTTGTACTCATAAAACAATAAATAAATGTATGCCTGTGTGCCTCAAACCAGCATTGTAGACAGGGCAGACAGTACGTGGGAACTGTGGGTAACCAGGAGGGTACRTGGGTGATAAATATGATATTACATAATTGCTTTCTATATTTCAGAGGGAAAAACTATTTTCTGTTTTACAAAATAAAGCCAAAAGAATTGGGGGGAGAGGTGTGTGAGACTTGGGTTTTATCAAAGGGCCTGGTTTAGACAGGCATGGAAGCCCTTCTGGGACAGTTCCCATGACAGGCTGTGTGGCTTGGTTTTTTCATGACTCGGGCCTGTCTCTCGCTCTCACCCCTTTCCACATGCACATCCCAAAGGAAACAGACTTGGCCTTCCCAGAGTCAGGGCTAGACTTCTTTCCCCGGTGTCTTTGAATGGCATTGACATCTACCAGTGAAGCCAACATGAGGCTCTATCCCTGACTTCCTCCTCTCGCCTTCCTCATGAGATTGTGGTGAATCTTAACCTCTCCAGGTCCTTCCTGCTGCGACAATCAGGCTGTGAGATGAAGGACCTCACAGCAGCTCCGAAGAGCAGGTCCTCTGTTCGGACCTCCCTGAGCGCCCAGCTGAGTTCTGGCTGCCTTGAAATGCTCGTTCCCTTCACACGGAGTAGCCATCTGCCCGTGCTCTCTTGCCTGGGCCATTGCACAAACTTCCTGACTGCCCTCCCACCTTCCTGTTTCTTTCCCACTCCCCAGACCTCCTTCCACTTTGCCACTGATTTTTTTTGGAAAACAGCTCATGACATCCCTTCCCCAGACATCTCTGACTGTTCCCCAGTGCCTTCAGGGTTAGAATTAAACCACTTAGCCTGGCATCGATCAGATCCTTATTTTTGCCATTGTTCATCCTTTCCAGCCCTGCCCCCTCCCTTAGGAGCACCCTTGTCTGCACCTCATATGCAAGGCCAGGACTTACTGTGACCTGACCAGCTTCCTCTTGCTCTTGTCTCCTCTTACACACCTGTTCTTTCCCCCAGGGTGTATGGAGCAGCTCTTTGCTGCTGAATTGCCCTTATACTTAGAGATGTGGTCCAGAACTACATCTCTATAGGTCTCCTTCTGGTGGCAGTTTTCTCCTCGTGTCATTTGTACCCTCCTTTATACCCACACAGCACCAGACACCAGGGCCAGGTCTGATGCCTGTAGTCCAGGGAATCCGAGTTCTGAGTGGCTCGGGACGGACGGTATCATCCAACTCAGGAACCTTGGGGCCCACCTTGTACTTAGCAAACACTTACTGTGGTTCATTGTATTCTGTCTAAATGTCCATGATGTCTTGAGGCTTATTATAAGTGGGAGGTGTTTTCTGATCTCTGGGCAGGGCTCCTGCCTCTCTGAATGATACAAGTCTGCTGCATGATCCTTGCCTCGGTACATTCGGTGGACCCGTGTTCCCGTGGCTTGTGCTGGGAGGCTACGATGGTAAGTAAGAGAAGCTGAGCTTCTCCTAGTAATCCTGGTTCCATCATGCAGTTAAGGGTGGGTGGTTAGGAAGATTTCATAAATGGAGCAACCTTCTTAATTCCCTGACTGTTGAATCTTAAATATAATATTTTCTTTAGCTTTGGCTTTGGGTTTTACTTTGGATTTAAAAGAAGTGGATTATGTTTACCTTTTAGGTCACACATGCCTTTGAGAAGCTGTTAAAGGCTAAGGACATTTTCCCAAAATAGTGTAGTTGTGTTGTTGGTCAATTGCAAGGAGGTCACAGACCTGGAAGCTTACCAGTAGAACGTCTCAGGAGGCCATGACCTCAGGTTCAGAACCCACGTCATGGGGAAGGAATAAAAATCCAAAGTTGGTGTGGGTTTTTTTTTGTTGTTGTTTTTGTTTTTTTGTCCCCTTCTAAACCATTCAGAACAATCTGGATACCTTTATAGTGGAAAGAACATTCTTCGCTGGTTTTGTGGCATCTAGGACAGATGGGGTAGATAAAATGGGGTGGTGATTCACGAGACATCTTTGGCATCTGAAGCCTCCCTGCAGGCTCAACAGGTTTTTCCCTATGATGAAGAGGCCAGCTAGGTTTTCTTCTCTTGGCTCAGAAGCAGGAGAGAACTTGTGATCTGTATTTAAAATTGACTCTGCCCCATATAATAAAATGCCATTCCTAATCATAGGGAAAGCATGACATCAGCCACTGGCTAGCCAAAGGGGAAAAAATTAAAACTGTCCTCTTCCTTATTCCTTCTACCAAAATAAACTCCACATAGATCAAAGACTGAAATGTGAGAAGTAAAACTGTTGGAGAACTGGAAGATCGTACAGGAATATGGGAGGATTTTTCCCCCTAGTACTGGGGACTGAACCCAGGGCCTCACACACGGTAGGCAAGCAAGCACTCTACCCCCTGAGCTATATCCCCAGCCCCTACAGGAGGAATTTTTAAAAATAATTTTGAAATGACAAAGACATTTTGAAATAAGAAAACTGGAAAGCCACAAAAGAAAAGACTGATGGATTCGACTACATAAAAAATTTTGAATGCATGGGTGGAAAAACTGGCAAGAAACTGAACAATAACAACAAAAAATTAGCATTCGTAACAGCGTTTCCTTAGCACTGTGAAACCACAAAGAAGTGGTTGAAAGTTAACAGAAGCAGCAATACAAATGGCATTTAATTATATGGAGGAAATGTTCCTGTTCCCTCCTGATGGTAAAATGCATCTCACTTCAGTCTTTCTACCTAACAAATTGACAAAGGCCTAAAAGAGTTGATAAAACCTTGTGTTAGTGGAACATGGAAACTCTACTATTATTGCTGAAAATGTAAATAGGTTACTCAAAAGTAAATTCCAGGAAGATAGGAGTTTTCTTTTACTYCCTGATATATATCCACAGGACCTAAAGTAAGGCCTGGCACAAATTAGTTCTCAGTAAGTGTTTTGTTAAAGGTATAAAAAAATAACAGCCTCTTTGGACAGCAGTTTGTGAGAATTTATCAAAAATAGAAAGTCACATCGTTTTTTTTAATATTTATTTTTTAGTTGTAGTTGGACACAATATCTTTATTTATTTTTATGGGATGTTGGGGATTGAATCCAGGACCTCACTTGTGCTAGGCGAGCACTCTACCACTGAGCCACAACCCCAGCCACCCCCTTTTTTTTTTAATATTTATATTTTAGCTGTAGTTGGACACAATATTGGCACATAGTTTTTGACTCAGGGATTATGCTGTAATATTTGATCCTATGAATATGTACTTTACATACTAAAAATATAGATATACTATATATATTTATACATCTGTGGATATATAAATAGTTATAGTAATTTTGTAATAAAAAAAATTGCAAGAATGACCATCAATTGGGAATTGGTTGAATTATACTAGCAAATAGCATGCTTCAGGAAAAGATTAAAAAGCTCTATATGTACTAAAATGGAGCGGTCTCCAAGATAMAGAATTTTAAATTGTAATGTGTAGAACAGTATGTTACCATTTATGTAAGTAGAAAGGAAAAGGGAAGAATATCCATATGGGTTTGCTTGTGTGTGCTTGGTGCAGATTCACAAATGGCCACAGCATGGAAAGAGAAGCAAAGAATGGAATGGAGAAAGGAAGGGGAGAAAGTTCTCACACAACACCTTTCTCTTCTGTTTGAAATTTTTACCATATATGTATGGTGTAGTTTGAGGGGAAAAATCATTCTCCTTGAATTGTAACTGTCCGCTTCAGACAGGGAAGCCTGTTCACTAACCAAGATACTCATAGACCATTTCTTGTTTGGTCTTAGAGCACAGACTCCATTTGTCTCCAGTGAGAAATCAGATCAGCTACTGTGTTGTGATTCCCTCCTTGTATTTGTCTGATTTTCTACATGCTCGTAATCTGCTTTTTGATGTCACGTTTTCCCTTTCTAGATCAAAACTACAATAATGCCACTGCTCTCGTGATTACCTTCCCTGTCAATAATTACTACAATGATACAGAGAAGCTCCAGAGGGCCCAGGCCTGGGAAAAAGAGTGAGTCACTCTTGGGTAAACAAACTGTCCTTGCTTTTTGTGAAGCTGGACATTTGCAGCAAGCCCTTGAACTTCATTCTCTAACTTGGCCAACATGAGTTCTAAGATATGTAATATTTTTCACTTGCTAAGAATTGTGCTCAGAAGAAATCTTTGGATATATTTACCTATAAATAGATGTTTTAAGCAGGTATTCTTACCCAGGAAGGCAAAGCATGCACAAATGCATCTTACCTTTTTTCTAATAGCAAAACTGGGAGCATACTGAATGTACAGCAATGAGGGATGAGTACAGTAGAATATTATGCACTTACTAATGAGAACAAGGTAAGTAAATGATTCCAGATCTAGTAAAAGCTATAATCAGCATATTTATATGAATATGAGCTGTTCATGCTGTTCATGAATATAAGCTGTTCAAGTAGATGGCCTGAAAAACTTAACTGTGTTCTTAACCTCTCAGGACATGGGAAAAGAAGTGTCAGGAAGATGAGGGACTTTAACTCTTTATACCCTTCTGTACTGTTTTGTTTGGTACTTGTGGCACTGGGGATTGAACCTAGAGCCTTGCACATGCTAGGCAAGCACTCTACCAGTAAGCTGCATCCCCGGCTCTTTTTAATTTTTGAGACAGGGTCTTGCTTAAGGTACCCAGGCTGGCCTCAGTCTTCAGGATCTTCTGACCTCAGCCTCCTACGTAGCTGGTATTGCAGATATGTGCCATCCAGCGTATTTTTTAAAAACAGTTTTATTGAGATGATATAAACCATAGAGTTCACTCATTTGAAGTGTAGTTTAATGGCTTTAGTGTCTTCACACATATGGTCACCCATCACTATAGTCAATTTTAGAACTCTTGGATTATCTTGGAATGAACCACTGTATCCTTTAGCTGTCACCTACCTTTTCTCATCTTCTTCATTCACCACTATAAACAATCACTAATCTACTTTCTGTCTTCATACATTTTCCTAGTTTAGACTTTTATATGGTTGGAATCATTTTTGTGGGCTTTTGTGTTTGGCTTCTTCCACTTAGCGTTTTCAAGGTTCATCCACRTTCTCACATCTTTTTATGACCAAATAATATTCCATTATGTAGTTCTATCATATTTATTTGCCCATTCATCAATTGATGCACATTTGGGTTATTTCTGTCTTTTGTCTATAATGAATAATGCTGCTATGAATATTTTTATAAGTTTTCATTTCTCTTAGGTATATATCTAAGAGTAGAATTGCTAGATCATGTGGCAACTCTACCTTTAGTTGTTCGAAGAACTGCTGGACTATTTTCAGTATGTGATGGTTCCAGTTTTCGCACTTCTATGCCAGCACTTGTTATTATCTGCCTTTTAGATTCTAGCCATCCTACTGGATATAAAGTAGTAGTCGTTGTGGTTTTGATTAGCATTTTCCTAATGATGAAAAATTGTAGGCATCTTTTCATGTGTTTAATTCTCCATCTTCCTTGGAGAAATATCTATTCATATGGTTTGCCCATTTTTTTATTATTGATTTGTAAGAAATTTTTATATTTCTTTATCAGATATATGATTTCCAAATATTTTCTCCCATTCTGTTGGGTCTTTTTTTGGTTGTTACTTTTTTGATGCACAAAAATTTTTTAATTTTGAAGAGATTTAATTTTTTTTTCTTTTCTGGCTTCTCGCCTTTGTCCCAACACAGGCAGCCCTTGGTAGAATGGGCTGGCTGCAGAGCAAAACCTAAGAAAACCAGAATGACCTAGAAACCGCAGGACACAGAAAATATTTTCATAAAGCGGAGGTAGGGCAGGCTAGCCGATTATACAGATCGAGCTTCTATACTAAAAAGGCAAAATGGAGCCTGCGCTTGCTTTATTTTTATCAGGGAACACCAAAGGCCTTTCATAACATGTTCTTCACCAAAAAAGGTAGAGGTGGGCTGTCCAGTTCCCAACGGGCTACACCCATCTCCACAGCTTCTGTGAGGGACCTTCCTAGTAGAGTGGAGATAAAGGTCCCTGCCTTGGGCAACCTACTATGTGGGAGAGCCATGGATCGTTCCCAAGGTTAAACCTAAAATCTCCCTGATGCCATACTGAGAGAAGACCCTCAAGTAATTCACAGGTGGCTTCCCGCAGTGGCTCAGACTTTCAGTGTCATGTCCAAGACACCATTGTCTAATCCAAGAACATGGGCATTTACTCTGTGTTTTCTCCTGGGAGTTTTATAGTCTTAGCTCTTACATTCAGCTCTCTGATCCCTGGAGTTAATTTTTTGTGTGAGGTGAGGGTCCAGGTTCATCCTTTTTCTTGTAACTCTCCAGTTGTCCTACAGCATTTGTTGAAAAGGTTTTTCTTTCCCACTGAAAAGTCTTGGCATCCTTATCAAAAATTAATTAATCCCTGACACATGGCATGTTTCTGGACTCTCAAAAATTTGTTCCTTTGATCTGTGTCTCTTCTGGTGACAGTATAATGGTGTCTTTATTACTGTTGTTTTCTAGGAAGTTTTGAAATTGGGAAGTGCAAGTCCTACTTTCTCTTCTTGAAAAAGTTGTCTTGGCTATTCTTAGCCAGGCAATTGCATGTGAGTTTTAGAATCAACTTATCAGTTCCTACAAGAATCAGCTGGGATTCTGATAAATTTTGGTGGGCTTTTTTGGGTTTTTTTTGGAACTGGGGGTTGAACCCGGCCAGGGTTTTACAAATGTGAAGCAGATGCTTTGCCATTGAGCTACATCATCCCAGCCTGATTCTGATAAATGTTGTATTGTTCAATGAGTTTTTATGTTCTTTAAAGTGTACTACACATAGATATCTTTTTTTATTTTAATTTTATTTTACTTTTTTWAWWWTTTWWTTTWRKT